TGATCTCTGGAAACTAATGTTGTATTAGGTTCCAGTTTGCGGTAGTAGCAGAAACTGACATGCCTTTAGGAGCATGCCGAAGCCCCTTGATGATGGAGCGAGAAGGGAAGGGGTGTGCGGTTCACCCAGGTACAAATAAAGCATTTCACTCGCGGATGATCAGAACAAGAAGGTAACATACGTAACTCACTTCTGGGACTGTATTTTGCTCCTTCAGGCTTCTTTAAATAAAGATGGCAGTGCCCATTTTAAGAACTTCAGCTCTAATTGAGGACAATCACCAGGACTTTAAGGGGGCTTTAGTGTTTGGACCACTTCTGACCTCGTTGAAGGTATTTCTTTTGGCAGGGGGTGATGTGTGAGCATATGTGTGCGTGTGCATCTGCCATGTGGGTTTTAAAAATCTTTTTTTACATGTGGTATCCACAGAATATATCTCTGCTTGTAAATTTTATTGTAGAAGTCTTTATTCTGTATAGATAGCCTATTTAATAGGGGTTCTATTTGACCCGGTGGGACTTTCAGAAGAAGTACTATTGTAAGGAATTCACTTGGTATTTCTTTGCTTTAGCTTTTAAATGGCTTGATTTTTAAAGGAGAAATTCTATTTATTAATGAAAGTGTCATCCTCTTGGTGCTAAGCAGGAGAATTCATGATTACAGCAGTATGTTTAAAATTAGGTTATTCGTAATCCTGCATCTTTTAATGTGACAAATTTGTGACTCCTTCTGTGACCTTTTTTAAAATGCATTGTAGGATTGCTTTTGGAGCTCTTATTGTTCTTTCCAGAAATACAGCTGCTTTGCTTGGGTCTCCTTGAGCCATATTTGTAGTTGGTCTCAGCATTCCAGATTTTTATTAAATTGATAAGGGAGTGAAAACTTAGTTTGCCTAGCAGGTAAATCATTATCACTCATTTAATGTCATCTGGCAAACATAATTTTTAGTGATTTCGTGTGTGTGTGTGTGTGTGTGTTGTTTTTGTTTTTTTTTTTTTAATATTTTGGTCAGTCTTTCTTGTGCCTCGAGTTGGGTTTTTCGGCTCTTATTACAAAAGCAAAAGAGATTAGAGTTAGTTACCAGAAGTATGTGTCTTCTAAAGGTGTTGAGCCTTTTCAAGAACCAACAGATTATCTCTTTTCGATTACAGCAGTTTATGGTTAAATGTTACTGCTGTTGTGCTGCTTCATTTAATGCACTGTGGAACAAAATAAGGGTATTGTTGAGATGGGATTTGGGTAACTTGAGGCTTTTAGCTCTCTTGACAGTTTGAGGTAAAAACTGATGTGAGTTAAAGTTTATGTGTGTGAGGAGACTTAACTATGCAGAAAATGTGTACGTTGGATGTACCTGTTTTATGTACATCTGCTATACTTACACCCTTGAACCTGTGTATTAGTTTCTCAGTGTTCAGGTTACCTTGAGAAAGGCCATGCTTAGCACAGAACTGGATTTCTCCTTTGAGAATTTTAGCATGGTTTGAAGAAATCAAGTGATAAAGGAGTGTGCTGAATATGCAATAATTTACTTCTGTGTGCTGCATTTTAAGAAGCTGGATGAGAAGAGTAGTTGTGTGGCTTCATTGTGTTTTAATGTCTTTGAGAGAAAAGTTCTTTGAATCCACTTTTTAAATGTTCTTATGTTCTAGCCTTACATTTTCCAAGGTTCAGTGCACTGTGAATCTTTTATTTTTTTAAATTTTGTAGGTGCTTTTATGTATAACTGTAATGATTTGTAAGATGTTAAATGAATTTTTTTGTACTTAACCATTGTTATCCAAAAGATAGGGGTTATAGTTTACATGCTTTCATAAATTTTTGTTAAGAAATAGCAAATGAATGGTTTTAGGATTTCAACCAGTGACACTCTTCCCGAGACATAAACTGAATAGAACCCTTAGCACGGGTGAAGTTTGAAGAGGTTTGAAACTCGAGTTGGATTTTCATGTTAATACATAAAAGCAAGTCTCCTAAGCTGCCAAGGGATTTGTGGTCACTGCTTGCTGCTTTGAGCTTTGGATATTCTTATTTTTCTATTAAATATCAATTAGTAAGTGCAGATAAGGAAGATATATAGCAAAACATAATTTTATGCTATAAGGTTGTGTTGGTACTTTGTCTTTGCTGGCTTTAGTAGTTTGTGTGTAATATCAAAAGACTCAAATCTAAGTAAATGGCATCCTTCCTTCCACAGGGATTAAATTTAAATTTTATTATAAAGCTCAACATACTGTGGTGTTCTTTAGGAAAGTTCAGGTCTAAGGGCATGTGTACATTAGAAACATTTTATTACCGAATTCTCTCTTTTTGTTTGTTTCCAGCAGCTAACTTGAACAGTAAGGAGCAAAGTCAATATAAAAATTAGACTGTTTGCCAACTTACTTTTCTTACTATGATAATGTCTCTTGGCTTTTTATCTTTATTTTTGTACCAGTACCTCACTCTGCCTGTTGAGATTTTTTATTGACATCTATTGTGTCTGTGTTCTCTGAGGCAGTGTTTTCTTTGCATATTAATCATAGTTACAAGGTCAGATTCATTAACATATTTATGACTGAAGAAAAGTAAGTCACTTAGTGATTTTGACTCAGATTATATTCTGGCAGTGGGGAAGGGGCTCCTCTGTATTGCAACTTTAGATGAATGATAAGCTAGACAAAGTCTTACTTTGTCTGAAGATATCAAAATATCCTTTACCTTTAAGTACCTGTTTCTGGGTAAGCAGGTTTAGTAAAACAGCAGTTTTGTTAGACCTTATTTCTGATAGCTTGGTAAAGCCTAGCTAGAGTTCCTCATTTTATATTCTGTCCTAAGACTTTAAAGTGTATTTGTATAGTTACGGAGAACTCTAAAAATGAGATTATGATGGCATCAGCATCTTTTTCTTCCTAGAGTTAAGTTGCTCTTGAAGTTTTTATACTTGTGTGTCCTGAAGACGGCAGATTGCAAATAGGCAATAAAGGCTCTGTCCCATGCTTTCAAAATAAAGCTCTGGATTGCAGTTTCAAAATATAAGATAGATGATTATTATAGAACAAAAGTGCCCTGAAGGAAGGAGATAGCTATAGTTGCTGGGCAAAGAGATTATAAGGAAGAAATTTTAGAAGATAATCCAGTTCTTGAGTGCTCTCTGTTGTATTAGGCTAGAAACGTGATCATTGCCTAGGCCAAGCGGTGTCTAATATATATGGCCATGACCAAGTGTTTTCTAGCTCTGGATAAAGTTGTCCTTATTTTTTTTATGGTTGCCAAGCAATCCAGTAAATCTAAAGCAATTTTTCTCACTGGAAAGATTGGTGTTTTGAGCCTGGTCCTTCCTGTTTCGATAATTTACAGCTGCAACCACACTGAAGTGCTGTACTTTCTTCCAGGAGTGTGCGAGCACAGCCGGCCATGGTCAGGCGTGTGACAGAGCCACTTCATGAGGTAGCTGTACCTTCGTCCTGAACGGTGATCCATTCCTTCCCGTGTAGTTCTCTTATGACAGACTGCATGTACTATTGAAGCAGTAGTGTAAAGCTAGGGAAGAGCATAAAGCTACCTCTCATATATGGGAGTGGACTTGAAGGGCTGGCTTCCACCAGCTTTAGTTGCTCAGACTTTAAAGTACAAAGAAATGTAAATTTTAAAAATTATGGTAAAATAAGGAAGTTTTATTTTGAGAGATGTTTATAATTGACTCTTTAATCTGGGTCCCCAGATTAATGAAATCACTAGTAAAGAGATTGCATTTGTCTTGTGTCTTCTGTGGTTAGCAGAGGGGATGGTCTAGCGATGGTCGTGGCTCGAAAGCACAATCTGAAAAGAAACATGACAGAGTGCTTGTGTCAGCTGTGTAGTACTGGCCAGCGGTGCTTGGGGGAAAGGGATTGGATGCAGAAATCAATTGCCTTGTTTTGAAACTTTGGCCCACAGGGATCCTCCTCTTGGTAGACTTCTTTAGTCCTTTAGTCCGATGGAAGAATAAGGCCCTGAACATATACATGTGCTGCTTCTTTGGTGGGAGGGCTCTTAGAGGGGTTTGGGTGTCGTTTTGGTTATTGGCTTCCGAAGCCAGAAAGAGGCCATGGAGTCCCCACCACCACCCCACACTTTGTATCTTGTCCCTTCTATAGAAGGTTAGTTTGTGCTACATCCTTAGGGTAAATCTACCGCTGTGGGGATTTTATGCAGTGATCATATCTTGCCCTTGGGCCACAAGTGGGGGGGAAGGTTATGGACACCACTGCTGTTTTGGGTCTCAGTGCATGTAGCTGTCAGATTGGGAACAAAGAAAACTGTGGTTCTAGGGTGAAATGGGCAGTATTCTGCTAGTCCTGGAGAGGTTTTAGTTAACAGTCTTAGGTTGTGGACTTTCTGAGGTATGTAACATTTTAATTTAATCTGCTTTGCATTCATTGACTGAGGTTCTGAAGCAATCTCTAGCTACAAACTATGGTGTGAAGCATTTGGGGCACAAATCTACATTGTTAGTTACTTCTCAAGCTTTAAGAGATTAGCTAGTTCTTTGTGAAATATCTCGGTTTATCTTATTCTTTTGTGATATTTTGGAATCAGCTATGGATAGCAACAAATGAAAGCAAAATTTCTCAGCTGAATGCAGTTTAGCAAGGTAGTAACTATTCCTTAGTAGTTGTTAGATGTTAATACTTCTGCAGTGAATGAGTAGCAGGGGACTTGCTGTCTTCATGTCCTGTACATAAAATGTGCACTGATAGACAAGCACAAAAGACGTATCTTTGCATTTCACTACTGTCCCAGGGCACTGCTGTCTCTGTTCATTTTAGGTTTGCATTTGGATGCTATACAGGTACCTTTTAATTTCAAATATAAGTGTCTGAAGAACTGAGTCCTTAATTTTACTTTTTTGCTCATATTTCATTTCAAAGTTAGGATGGGAGACAGCTAACGGACTTTCCATTTTCTTAAAAGCTTTTCCTTCAGTAACAGGGAAGGAAAATAAAACCATGAACTATTTTGTATATATATGTTTGTGTATATAACACACACATGATGTATACACACACATATATATTTTTTCTTATGATTGTGTTTGAAGTTTATTAGCTTAATACCTTATAAAAAATCATCTTTGGTAATTGACACATACAATTCAGATGTAAAGGTTTACCTGTTGACTTTAACAAAAACTTTTAACAGTCTTACTTCAGAATAAAATGATTAGTCAAATGGAATTATAGTTCATGTATTAACAAGTGAAATCCTATATAAAATTGTCTTTTATGCAGGTTAGTTTGAATGGGAAAGGGAATAAGAATTTTTTTTTATCCCTATCCCTCCCAAAACAAGGGTTTGAAGTGTCTTTTATGCTGCAGAGACTAGGTTATATTCAAGGAAGGTGTGTAGTCTTAAAATAGTTTTCTTGGGAGGAGGTTTTAGTCTGAAGAAGGTGAAGATATTTATGCTGAGTCATGTTAAATTTCATGTGGGACCTACGAAAGCTGGTTGGAAAAAATTGAAATGGTTTCACTAAATATGTTGTGCAAACTGGACTTTGAGAGTAAGTGTGGTAACTAGATTCATAAACTCTTCAGTCATTATTTTTATCTTATATGAAAATAATTTAACATTTAATTTTTGCCTTAACTGTCACAGCATTTTATGACTTTACCTTCTAGGGCATTTTAATGATTGAAAAAAGACTGTAAGTAAACCATTAAGAGTAATTCTGTCTGTGGTAGTAATGACGTTCCTGGTGCTTGTTTTGGTTAATTGTCAAACAGCAGAAAAGAAACCCCAGAATACTTGTGGGCTTTACCTTGTTATACAGATTGATACCTTTCGATTGGATTTATTGTGTTTCTGAATTATTACATTCTGGCTAACCAGTAGCTTTGTCTCTTTCCCTCAGTGTTAATCAAAGGATGAGGACTGATTCTCACTTCTATTGGGTGTGACTATCATAAATTAAGAATTTCCAGTGAGTTTAAATGTTTGCAGGATTATTGTATTCCCAAAGTTGACTAGCAGTGCCAGCTGTACTCTCCCCTGAGAAAATGAACAGTTATTATGCTTTTTTGAAAGCTTTTTGATGTAAATAACACCAGTTTAGAAATTAAAAACCTTTTATCTTGCAGAATACAATTTGAGAGAATGAAGGTTTCCTTTTGTATTTTAAAACATTTTTACAGTTGATTGTTCAGATATTGGCTTTGTGTAAAAATATTATCGTGTTAAATTTAGACTGACTGTAGTGCAATATCAATAAATTTTGCTGCTTGGACAGTTTTAATTACTACCTTAACCTGGTTTCTGCTACTGTTACTTGTTATCATAGGTTCCAGCTTATTCATATTTTGTCTGTCTTTGGACCAATAAAATATGACAAGTATGAGATAAAGGCATATTTATATGATGGGAACAACTATTAAAAGAGTGTCTCTGCAAAAGTGAAAATAAAGAACTGGTATGTATTCTCCATCTTAAACACTTAACAGTTTGGTTATTGCTTTAAAGCAAAACTGGGGGGGCGTCTGGGTGGCTCAGTCATTAAGCGTCTACCTTTGGCTTAGGTCATGATCCCAGGGTGTTGGGATCGAGTCCTGCATCAGGTTCCCTGCTCAGCGAGCCTGCTTCTCCCGCTCCCTCTGCCTGTTGTTCCCCCTGCTGTGTTCTTTGTCAAATTTAAAAAATCTTAATTAAGGGGTGCCTGGGTGGCTCAAGTGGGTTAAAGCCTCTGCCTTCCACTCAGGTCATGATCTCAGGGTCCTGGGATCGAGCCCCACATCAGGCTCTCTGCTCAGCAGGGAGCCTGCTTCCCCTTTTCTCTCTAGCTGCCTCTCTGCCTCCTTGTGATCTCTGTCAAATAAATAAATAAAATCTTTAAAAAAAAATCTTAATTAAAATAATACATACATATATATGTATTATATAAAGCAAAATTGGTTAGATACCTACAGTCCAGTAAGTCTTAAACAGTTGTTCCAAATAGAATACTTACCAGTCTTTGGATCATGGGAGAAATACATTCTTCTCCACTACCAGCCTCAGCTATATGATAATTTTTATTTAAAAGTTTAAGAGGGGGGGACCAAGGTATTATACTTTGCTTTCATTCTGAGAGCTGACGACATTGCAGGAAAACATTGTTCCTCTAAAAGACATGTTGCAAAGCTGCTTGCCATCTTTGTTGTCATCCTGTGTAACTTCCTTGCACTTACAATTCTTGATTATATTGTTTCCCTCATTTTTAAAAATGAAAAATTTTTCAATGGATAACTTCCCATTCATACCACATTTTAAAAGGCAGCCAAATAGAAATTGGTGATGAATGAAGGTTCTTTGGCTGTTTGGACCTAATGTAGTGTCTTCTGGTCCCCAGCTTTGACTAGGGCTTTCAGTTTAATGTGAAGCAGCATGGGTTTGACATTTACATGTATTGCAGGAGGACAGTCTTACCCTTTAATGAACACAGTTAAAGTGCATCATGGAATTAGAAATATTTATTCAGAATATAAGAATGTTTGTAAAATATTATAAATGTCTCTGTATAAATAAATGGAGTTTTTTTTAAACAATTCTATATCAAATAACACAAAGTAGCTATTTTACAGCAGCTAAAACTAAAGGCATCTGGAAACATTTAAAGCATACAAGTGAAGAATCTAAAAAATTACAAGGTATAGTACAGTGTTAAGGGGCAACTTTAAAATGAGACTTGCGGTACAAACAGTAGGACAACACTGACAAATGCAAACTTGGTCACGTGTGCGGTAACAACTGATAGTACATTCAAGCAGGTTCTTCTAACTCAAGTGGTTTAAAAGGAGCACGTTTTCAAATAGGAAACTTAAATCTCATGCAAAGTAAGTCTTGATAATATATCTAGAAACTGATTACGAATAGAAAAGTGAACATGTGTCATTATCTTTGCATTAGGGTCAAACAAAAGCAGATTCTTAAGGGCTCATTCACTTGGCGGTCATGACACTAGCACTCTTTAGTGAACGGAGTTCTACAAACAGAACATTTTCCACGTGAATTTGATTTGCAGAAAGTGCAAAAGTGAAAGGTACGGTAAGAACTAACTAAAAGCAGGTCATCAGTGTGAATGTGGGGGGGGATTTTGTATATAGCTTGCTTCTTCATTCTGCTGAGCTGGTATTTCAGATGATCAGTAGATGCGTGATTTGCAGCAACCTTGACTACGGAAAAATCCAGCACTGTCATTCAAGGGTCGAGTTACTCAATAGCGGCTGCTGTTACGGGCAGAATGAGTTCTTGTCTGGGTCACATGCAAGAGCTCACTCAGGTGCAGTGTGATAGAGAATGTATCCAATACAACTCTTAATCAAAAATGCCACCATTGCACGTGAAACGTTCTACCTTTATGCAGGGACAGCTGCTTTTCAGCTTGCACTCTTTCCCACTGGTTTACAGTGGTTAACATCCATCGAATGCTCAGTGATGAACTGGTGGTAGCAGCCAGCATTACGTTGGTCGCTCTAGGTCCAGTTCTAAAAAGACAATGCTTGGCAGCCCAAGACCTGTGTCTGTTAGTGAATCACATGTGATTAGTTACAAAGTAATTTTAGGTGTGTGAAACGGGGAACTTTAGAAGGCCACAGATTCGTAGCCAACTTCAGCCTGGCCTACGTAAACACAAGGTTTCAACGGGCAGGTATAGGATTTGGATAAACCTCGTGAGAAATAGGTGTGTAGCAAGTAGAGTTTGTATCATTTGTCAAAGATAAAATAGAAAAATATTTGCTATGTGATTTTTTTTTGTTGTTGTTAATACTCGTGTTCTACAAAGCTATCACTTAATGCAGAAAAAAAAAAATCTCAAAAACGTTACTTATCTTCCCTTCCCTCCCAGAAAACCTTGGCAACCCTGTGGCTGCACCCTAACTCAATTCATTGCAGAAATTTCACTCAGAAAATTCTCTCCCTTTCGGCCTCCAAAAATGTTCTCTCTCTGGGCTGCATCTAGAAATACAGGTACAGCTGTAACCTTCCCATGATCTTTTCACTTTACATAGTCTCATGGACGACACATAACTTCCAGTTAGGCGTTTGCAAATGGCTTAAAAGTTTTAGGGATCCTTTGGGTGTTTTCTGTAGTCTGAATGTCTTACTAAAAATATGAGCATGACACCCCAAACTCTTGAGAGCTTTAAGACAATTGATAGAGCTTAAAAATAATTGCAGGATAATGTGAGCAGGCCGTGGGAACACCTTTGGAAGGGAACAGGCAGCTATGAGGTTCCTAACTCATGCCAGTGAGATATTCCAGTCCAGATGAGGTAAAACTATGGGGGTGTGTTTTTTCTTTTAAAAAAATGTAATTGGTATGCAGGTAGGAACTAGGAGATTTTCATACAGTTTTAAGTTTTTCTTAGGATGAGGCTAGTAAGGATTTTACTACTTCAACAGTTTTTAAGAAGAAATCATAGCGGCTCTAATTTGGACTGCCTTCCTAGAGTAGTGAGAATGTTAATGCTCTAATTTGAAGTTCTCTGAGATCCCTGTGAAAGTATTGCTGCAGGCTCAGAGGAAGACAGCAACAAATGCAAGCATCTCGAAGGAGATATTAAGCCATTCTCTTTAACTGGCACTTAAGTTTTTATTCATCTAACATTCCAGCTTCAGGCAGCTTGGATATTAACTTCAGAAAGTTGACCTGCTCGTAGATGAGCGTGAATCTGAAACATTTACTTGCACTGGCAATGATGAAACGTCTAGGATACCTCTGGGGCTGGAGCAGGAGAGGAAGGAAGGGCATGATAAATCTCAGCTGTCCGATCACTTAAGATACTTAATCATCAATAATTTTCGGGCTTAGTCTCCACGAGGAGTCTTACCGCCTGCGAGTCCACAGCAGCGTTGGCAGCTGGTGCAGATGGACTTTGGCAGAACGTCACATCTGCCGGCAGGTCCACATGTAGATGCCACTCCAGCGGGACGGAAGTCTGCTTTGCCTGTGGTTTTTACCTTAATTCAGCAGTGGGAAATACACTCCAGGGGAACTGTGAAAGGGATCCTTTCTTCCCATGCCTTTTTCGCTAAGAGCCAAAGATGGGGCAGAGAAGGTGACTGCCTGAAAGGGGTAACCATTGCGGGAAGTGGGAAACAAAAACATGGAAGTCTGAAGACTTTCCACCTCATACAAGTTAAATCTGTATCATTTTTTACCTTTGATGGAGAGATTAAACTAGCTACTATTTAGAAAGAGAAACTCAGGTTATTAAAAAAAAAAAAATTCAGGTATCTGCAATTATTTAATCAGTGTGGTTTTACGTTTAGCATAAATGAATGCCTCTTGGTTCACCTTCAGCAAGGATCTTCTCTTAGGGAGCATTTGAAAAATACAAGGAAAGGAAATCAACTATTTAATTGCCTTTTTTTTTTTATTCCACGTATTTATAAAAAGCAAGTTTTTCTGGGGAAAGAGTTTTCACCCAATCACCACATATTTAAAAGTATTATGTTGAAGTATAAATTTGAAAGGAGGCCAGGTAGGGTCAGTAATACTTGGGCTTATAATGGAGGAGAAGAGACCTCTTGGGTCTGGAAAAGTTACATGACCCTAAAAAGGGTGAGTTTTCTTTGAACTTGGACCAAGAATGGTAGACAGAAGTCAGCAGACAGGATTATATTCATGTGTCAGCTATACTTTTCAGGGTTGGTGAAGATGAAAGCTGTCTGTTTTGAATGTTCGGTCTCAAATATTTCCCCTTGGCAAAATGGAAAAATGGGGAAAACCAGTATTTTGTCTTTTAAACTCCCCCCCACCCCCCGTATAACTTCAGTCACATTTTCCTTATGACAAAATGAAACTTTATCCAAAGAGTAAAAATTGATTAAAAAAAAAAAAAAAATCACAAGAACCAACCTTGACTAAATGGTAGATTCATAACAAAATCAGGAGCCAGTGGGCACTTTCACAGTGATCAAAGCAGCCAAAAGCTGGTCCTTCCAGACTGGTAACAGTTTTTTTTGGTTTTTGGTGGTGTTTTTGGGAAAGCCTTACTGTGGGCCTAAGAAAGAAGGGTGGTTGCTTTTGGGCTGGAATTGCTCTGCCCTCCAAGGTGGTGGCTGGAGTGGCTTCTCCATTGCAGAGAAGGCTGAGGAACTTGTATCAGGTTGTCTGAAAACAGATCTTTAGTTCATGGATGTTGGGACTCTGATGGGGTGACCTGTTCATAAAACTTTGTGAACTCTGGCATTGGGATAGAATTCTCGGGGGGCTTTGGGTGGATCTTCCAGTACTACAGAGTGAAATGCAAGTGGTCCTTCAGAATATATCCATGTGGGGTAACTAAGAAGACTTGAAAGACAGGAGATGGAATAATGAGTATAAGATGGAGGCCTTCCTGAAAGAATTCAGGCACTTTGGTCCTGGCCCAGCCTTGTCAGCATTTTACTTAAAATTTAACCTGTTTAAGTACCGTATACTAACCACCACTTTGGGGGGTGGGGGATGTGGGCAAAAGGAGGCCTCGACGACCATTCCTTCACCCCCTTCCCTTCGTAACAGCAGGAGCGAAGTCTTGAACTGGTGGTTCAGTAGCCGCCTCTTAAATAGGTGGGGTGGGATCGGCCGCCAAACATTCTGCTCGGTGTCCTGCCTCTTGCCCTTGGAGAAGAACAGAGGCAGGTCCAGAGCTCCGTACATATCAGGTGGATGAATTTTGATGGATGTGGAATAGCAGTTATGGGGTGCCCTCAAGGGGTGGGGAGCAGAAGTACTAACAGTGCTCTTCTGCTCTTGAAGCAGCTCCTGATAAAAGTTTAGTTCCACTCTATGTCTCAACAGGACCATCTCAGCTCTAAGTCTTGGCTTTAATAAGACTCCACTGGGAGGGAAAATCCCACATTCAGAAGGAAGTGCCCTTTGCAGCCCTACCTCCACAGTGAGAGGTAAAAGAAGTGCTCATTCTCCCAAACAGAATTGTTCAGGTAGGGCTTGCTCTACCTGTAACTTCAGATGTACCTGGGACCCTAAGCCTGAGTACCCTCCGCTGTAATCGACCTCTCCGAGCACCTCTGAGTGACAGCCTGTGTCTCAGAGCTGGTACGTGGGTCTCGAAAACCAAAGCCTGGTGCAGTAAGCAAATCAGCAGTTCGAGAGGCTGAAGATATCCCCTCCACACTCCCACATGTGTCAGTGTTTATCCCTGAAGTAGAAAGAAAGGAGAAACTGAGGATGACAGAGGGCCGGTCACTACCAAAAAGAGAAGAAAAGAATGGACGATCCAAAACAAATGAATGACCAGGGTACCACCGAGGCACAACTTCCAGAAAGCGAACAGGTGGGAGGGAGAGTGCCGCGCTGGAAGCAGAAGCAAGGCCTACCGCGCAGGGCGCACAGCAGCTATATACGCGCTGTCCCTGGGCCCAGAAAGGGAGGAGCGGGATCCTCCGGCTAGAGTCTGCAGGGTGTCACCAGGCCATTCGTCCCCGGAGCAGAGTCCATGGTACTCCATCGTGCAGGTGCTCACCCACCTGCCAGCCTTCCCTTCCGTCCCTCTCCCACCAGGTGCTCTGTCTCCCAGGGCCCTTCTCTTGCCGGTGACCTGCTCGAGTTGAGCTTCCACAGAGCTTTGGAGCCCAAGTGCCGATTAAAGTGAAGTCTCGTTGGTGTGTGGCCTTGAATTCTCCTCCTCCAGCAGAGCTATTCTTTGCTTGAGCATCCTCACTTGGGTCTCATGTCTCTCCACCATGGCCATCATCTGAGACTCCAACTTTTTCAGTTTGTTCTGATGCTTCTTCTTGGCTTTTTCATAGGCAGCCACCAGGTTGCTGTGCAGGGAGCAGGGAAGGAGAGGGAACAGTCAGTCATTGGAGTAGTGTGGAGACACCCTGTCCTGTCCGCTGGGTGACTGGGTCCGGAGAGGTCCCTCAGCCTCTTTAAAGGAGTGGGAAATCAAGTGTTCAACACTCACGGCCATTCACCTGTTACTGGCTTAACTACAGTTCTTTCCCTGCTGGAGGCTTGTCCCTCATCTTTTAGGAAGGGTGTAAACCAACAACCCAGACTAGTCACATCCAAAATAGGTAAGATAGAAAAGGCAGCTAAATTCCAGAAATTTGTCATTTAAATACAAGTGATGAGGGCCACCTGGGGGATGGGAGGGGTGGCTCAGTTTAAGCGTCTGCCTTTGGCTCAGGTTATGATCCTGGGGTCCTGGGATCGAGCCCTGCAGCAGGCCCCCTGCTCAGTGGGGAGCCTGCTTCTCCCTCTCCCTCTCCCTCTGCCTTTCTCCTGCTTGTTCTCTGACAAAAAAAAAAATCTTTTAAAAATAAATAAGTACTAGTAATGAGTCTGTCATTCCGTGGCTGCCTGCAACAGATGGTCCAGTGTTAAGTTACCAGGAGTGTTCTTTAAGTCCTGCAGTCTAAGTGACCCCACCTAGGAGGAGAGAGAGAGGCCCTGATGCCCTGATGATTTCACGCTTCCGGCTGGTGGGATTCGGGACACAAGGCCACCAACTGGTGCTGCCAGCCAGAGTATGAGCCTCTCTGAGCCATCTCCCCGAGTTCCTGGTGGGGAGAGAGCAGGGGGTAAAGCCGAGGACAAGGGTAAGTCCTCATACCTGCTCTGGTCCCAAATAGCCCAGTTCCCTCCATGTACAGAGTTAGGTCCTCCCAGTGTCATCCTGAGACCAACTCCCTGGGATTCCCAAAACTCTTTCAGGAGAGCGGCCTTGGATACCCTGTACCTCAGGTCCGCATGCAGCTTGGTGTTCTGATTTATTTCACAGTATACGTGCCTGTGGAAGGGGAGGTGCGACTCCAGCTGCCTTCTAACCCAGACATGAAAGAGGTTTGCAGATTGTAAAAATTGCTACTTTTCTTTTTGGAAAACAGTTTTTAAAATAAATGCCAATGGTATTGCATATGACCAATTATTTTTTTGGAAAACAAAAACAAGAAAAATTCGTCTCAGTTTTAGTTTCTAAACAGATTTATCAATAGATAATTTATGAGAACAAAGTTCGTTGGGTTCCTCGGTCTTTTATGAACATAAAGGGGTCCTGAGCCCAAAAAGCTTCAGATGCTGTTACAATAGTGCCCCATAAAGTGTCCACCAGATACTTCATGTTCTTCACATAGGGGCACCTGGCTGGCCCAGTTGATAGAGTAACTCTTGATCTTGGGGGGTCATGAGTTAGAGCCTCACATTGGGGGCCAGAGTTTACTTAATAAATTAAAAAAAAAAAAACTGTTGTCATATAAAAGTTCTAGAGCCAATTTTGTTGGGAAAATGTTGGCTTAAACACCATCTTTTTTTTTTTTTCTTACTGTATGACTTCTCAGAACCTTTACTGTAGTAATTAAGGGGACCATAGTATGCTGCGTTTCCCAAATACCTGGTCCAAGGACAAGCCTTTACTGAGCATTTCTTAGTTTCCTGTGGAACACTTTGGGAGCCAATGCCTGAGGGAAAGCCAGTCTTGGGGGTGACAGGGAGGGCAGGCTGGTGAGGACTTGCCATTCCCTCTCTGGAGCTGGCTCCCAGCAATTTCGGAAATGCCCTCCCGGTGTAGGAGGACCCCACAAATGGAGATTGTACCTGTTGGCCCGCTTCAGGTCATTCACGAACTCTGCTGATTGCTGGTGTCGGATTTCACTGCTCTTGGTGAGTCTTTCCAAGGCGCTCACCAACTCTTGAACTCTGGCCTTTAACTTCTTTTCTCTGTGCGGAGGAGAGACAAAGCATGCCTGGAGTTACCCGACAAGATCCCGGCTGTTACCCCGAGGGTGGTGGCAGAGGAGGAAGGTTGAGCTTGCCAAATCAAAAGGCAAGTTCGAAAAGGAAGATACTGGAGGTACCTGGAGGTCCCCTCAGGTCCAGAACATCTCACCACTGCCTTGCTGAACGCTGATGAGGACCGTTGAGAGCTCAGAGTGCAGTACAAGCCACAAAGGAACAAGACATGAGGTTGTAGCCACCCAGATGTAGCACAAATGCAGCTTGGCCACAAAGCCTCATCTGGGTTCCACACCCCTCTTTTCCGGGTGTGCTAGTAAGTATCTCTTAAATCACTGATTTGAGAACAGAAACCTGTAGTCTGGGTGCCCTACCTTGGACAAGTCCCCACTCCGTGAAATCGACACGATTCTACTTCACCAAACCAAAAAACAGTAGTGACAGAGGGAATAGAAATTGATACTCTCATTTTAAAGTTCCTTGGTTCCTCTTTAAAGTACTTAGATTTGCACTTTGATAACCTCCTTCCCCAAGGCTTCAAGTTCCATGGGCTCTTTACTGCTGGGGTAAGCCAAAGTAACTGACTTAGGTTCAAGAGATTTCTAGTGCCCATTGCACTTCCTGCCGTCCTCTGATGCCCTTGAGCGTAAGACCTGGGCAGGGAAACTCTCCACAAGCACCCTCTCTACAGCGGTTCCACCGCCGCCCCTATACACAGGCACGGTGTCACTGCATCGTCACAGGGCCCTGTACAGCACAATCTGCTCCTTTTTTTTCCCCTAAAGATTTGTCAGAGGGTGCGCACATGCAGGGGTAGCGGCGGGCAGAATGAAAGGTAGGCTCCCCAGAGCAGGGAGCCCGATGTGGGACTCCATCTCAGGACCCTGGGATGGAGCCCCCCCTAACGCCCCCCCCATCCATCTTTCACGCTCTCAGGTGGCAAAGGCCTTACCCAAAGTTACCCCCATCCAGGTGACCGCTTCTCAGTGACAACAGTTGTTTTAAAGCTTCCAAACAATTCCCCGAAGGCATCTGATTCTTTGGAGATTCACGGGAGACCAGATTCGTGGAAGAAGTTCCTCTAAAACTGATTCATGCGTGTATGAGGAATGTACGTGAGCACAGCTGTTTTGGAAGGCAATCTGGGAAGATCTAGCAAAATAA